TTGCGAAAAAACTAGACATTTCCACACAAAAACCAAAAATTTTTGTTTTTCTTACCATTATCTTACCATCACACAAACCATAAAACCTTATCATCGGTATTCCCTATCTTAATACATTGTAGACTATACCCAATCTTAATACATAGCGAGGCTGACCCGAAGTCTATAACGTATCTTAATACATGGGGTCAGCCACGCACCCCCCCCCCCCCCCCCACTAAGTTTTTTTGCACTAAGGTTTGGATGTGAGCGAATACGAACTAACTTCCCAAAATAATTTGTGATGGCTGTCCTTATATTTTCAAATTATTTTTTGTCCGTAGAATTATTTGACAGTATAAACAAAACAGTTCTAGAAGTCTACTAACTGAACGCGTTCTGGAGTAAATCAACTGAAAAAAGATATATTTAAGAAATTGTAACATCAATGCCTTAACAAGACCAGGTAGTGAAGCAAACTGAAGTAAATCAACAATTCGATCGAAAACTCCATGCACACATTTAAGCCCAAACTTTTGTAATTAAAGGAGCCAAATGGTTGCCAACTCTTAAAACTTGCAGTCTCTTTTTTTTGCTTTCAAAGTATTGACAATAATAATTTTCTGTCTGAATTACTTTAGTTATTAAACAATCAATCAGAATTAGAAATTTGAAACCTAAACGAAAACGAAACAATGCCTAAATCCTCCAGAGCAACATTTTTTTTGAATTGTGATCTGAGTGATAAGTTTTTAGCAACCTAAAACGCATAAGAAGAATGTTTACGACATTCAGGCGCCAGATCCACTCGTGAGTCTTAGATGCGACGGCTCTTTCGAAGAGTTATTTTTAACTGCTGAAACAATTGAGAACGTTCGAACGTATCACGGCCAAGCCTTGATACAGTTCTATTCTAATTTTTCCACTTCTAAACTAACAAAATTTCTCCTTTTTTGGCGCGCTTTTATGAACAGTCAAATTTCTAAGTTTCATAATTAGGTTTTGAAACGTTGTTTTTTCCTATGAGGTTGAAGTCATTTTTTAATTACAAGAAATATTTTGTCCAACGTAATCATTTTAAGAAAATGGCAGAGTTTTAGCTAATGCTTTAAGCGAGTTTGTCAATCGAAACGATTCCCAAAACTAATCAATGTACAAGTTCTGAGCTCTCAAGTTTTGAATGTTGATTCAAGCAAACTGAAACAGTGAGGTATCTACACATGCTTTTCTTGCATTAATCAGTTTTGGTAGAAGGAGGAAATATAAAAAACTCCTTTTATGCATTGAGTGATTTTATTTTCAGCCTACATTTTGGATTATTTGGCATAAAGTTTTAGATTGAATTCATTAGACAAACGCAGCGATATTTATTTATACATAGGGATCAAAATTGATATAATCGGATCATTAGATATTTATAGGGATTGTTAATTATTCCTTAGTGTCACTAGTTAAACATGTTGACCTTTGAACGAACATAGGGACTATTAGTTATACATACGGATCATTGCATTTATATATTGATCAATAATTTTACATAGGAATCATTAGATAAAAGAGGATCATGTTTCTGGCTTAAAAATTGGCCTGTACAAACAAACAAGTTGAAAATCGACAACAGTTTTTTTTTCTCAGGTAAAGTTTCGTTGAAACTTGAAAATAATTTGCTTTTCTCGAACGCAAGAAAGATTAACAATTTTAAAGTTTTGTTTTACATTTATTTTTTTCTACAATCTTTAAAGTGGTCCTGTTTTAATGGATGGGTTACCCACGGTCTAAGAAAAACTGACCACGATCTGGGTCATCCTAGTTTTCTCAACTGAGTTTAATCAATCATTGAAAGTAAAAAAAACCTAGGCAATCGCTGTTTTTTGGCAGTAAAGAGCAGTTGATACTCCAGATTAAAGTATTCATTTCGTAAAGTAAAGATTAAAGTATTCATTTAAATCAGTAATGATACAAAAATGATTACATGATGTTTATTAGAAACTACTAAAAAATTGGTTCAGTTACCTGATAAATTTAAAAGTTACTCTGCTCAAAACTTTGAGTATCTAAACCGAAAGACGTCAAAAATATTCATAATTAATAACGTTACGATGGTTAAATATGATATGGACTAGGAAAGCCGCCATAGAATTTTTCACCTGAAAAAATATCATTCCAAAAAATGTTTTCCCCATTTTTTCAAAAAAAAAATAGAGATTTAGTGGGCCTATTGTATATAAAAATAGACTGCGACGTTAATTTATATCATTAATTTTCAAACAAGGTCGCAACAAAGGCTTTCATTGAACATCAACCTGAAATGCTATAAGGGCAAACATTTATTCGCCATAACTCTGGAAACCCAACCAGTGCAGGTTAAGTGCTAAAAGAATTTATTCAAACTCTCACCATAGGGTTCTTAATGGTTGCGCTGCAAGAAAAGATTTATTTTATTTTCTGTCAGTGTTTGCGTAGCTCGCATATTGTCTCATCGGTTTTTGCTTTTGGAAAAAAGTTACCCAACAAAATCTTAAAACAACGCTGGAGATGTTTAATTTTCATTCCCCAGAACGTCGTGTTGTTAATTAATTGTTGTCAACTGAATTTTCACACCATCTAAATTATTAACACCTTGAGCTCAATTAAATCCACAAAAACCACACTTTCCAAACTTTTTTTAACACAAGATTTATCGGAGGAGGGACAACAAGAAAGAACGACTTCTGGTCGATATCGGAGGAATAGAACTAACACAACAACTTTTGCGAGTTGGTTTGAAACTGAATTAAATAATTCAGACGAAAATTTTTTTTGGTTCCGTCGATGTTTTAATGAATAAATAAATCGATATTATTAGTTTCAAAATCAGTTATTTTTTGCATTCAAAACTTAATCAATTTTCGAAGCAAAAAGCAGTTGTAGAAGAAGACGAAGAAGAATAAGGTTTTCGCAAACCTCATGTTCCAGTAACAACTCATTAAAAAAATCTGCGAACTGTTTCTCGAAGCGTTTACCAAAATTTTGGCAGGAAAAAAAATTGTAGGTCAAAGAAATGAACTGCAAGTGTTTTTACCGTCGAAGCATGAAAAAAGCAGGAAAAACAAGTAAAGGTAGAGACGATGGATAGCCTAGATTTTTTCTCCGGTAAAAAAGTGTAACAGAAGTTGCAACTTTTAAATTGGCATCGTATCATTATTTCAAATTTTTGATATAATTGCAACAACTCGCAAAAGGATTAATTTGAAGTTTTGATCTTTATAGGCACAAAATCAAAACACAAGATCAAAATCATTATTGTTCCGTCTTTCGAAGAAAGTAGGAAATATATATGCTCGGGGTGTTTTTTTTTCAGACCAATTCTCAAAATTTTTTCCCACGGGGTACAAAATCTTTCCAAATTCAAATGAAGCAGGCTAATTGGTTTTATTAATTCCATACACGAGTTTTAATATTTAATTTAAAATTCGTAGTTTGCCGATCATTTCATTAATCAAAAATTATTCGAGACCAGTTTATGTACGGTCGGAACATTCAAGGCTTTTACACAAACGACGAATATCATAACAAACGACGAAATCAATTTAAGTGCAGCCATCCAGAAAATCTTTTTTAAACTACAGGTTAACGTGGGTGATTAACTTTTTTATTGGCAATTTAAATCAAAGACTGAGCTTCACTGAGTAATTTTTAAATTTCAACTTGATCCCTATGAAATTGTAGATTGTATTTGATCGACCGCTGAAACTGAAAAGAAAAAAGGTATTGAGAAAAGTGTCAAAATTTACACCATGTCGCCTAACTCGGTTTTATAAGAAATTTCAACAGACACAAGGATTGTATGTTTTAGAAAAGTTTAACTGCATTCCAGAGACACATGACACCTGCACAAAACTCTAACAAAGCTTTGTTGTTCTGAAAGCCAGTGACAAATAATTTTTGGGTTGTTGATGCGAATTGGATTCCAAGCTCTCCAAAATAGATGTTTTCATTAGGTTCCTTTGCAATATATTTGCTGGGTTTCAAAATTTGTCAATTGATTCAAGTATTGTTTGTCAAATATTTCAGAAATTTTTGTTGAATTTTTTATTGGAAATCATCTTTCTACACGTTCTTAAAGTAAAAACTAGCAACTTAGCATATAGTAACGTGTTAGAACAACTAGTTTGCCTCAAGTAAAATTGGAACTGTTTCTGAGCCAAATTAGACAGCCGCTGGCGCGTTAATAGGGCCCGATAGTCGCTCCAATTTCATCAGCTCGATTTTATAAGAAAACTCAACAGACACGAGACTTACTGAGTTGAGTTCAACCAAACTAGAACGCGGCATGAACTCGTTTACGACTGCTGACAGGAACAAGCTTTTAGGAGAGTTATGTGCACCGTAAAGACTGCAATATCTGAGCTAAATTAGGAAAACAGAAAAAAACTTGATCATATCTTGAATAGAAGGGTTTTGGTGGATATTGCAGGGAGACAAAAAGATTCATTTATATACGCAGTACAAAAGCGAAGTCCCGACTGAAGCGAAGTCAATGTATTGCCCGGAGCATTTGTAATTTCGCGCATTTGTCAAAGCACACAGTCATAATATCATCCACCCGAATCATACTCAAAGTTTTGTTGAATCTGTTGCCGGGGCTCATATCAAGACCATTGTGCCGAACTTGGAGAAGCGCAAAAACGCAGAATAAACGAACGACTCTCCGGGACAATCCAAGCGCATCAGAACTCATATTTGTGCAAATTTTCCTGGTGAAAACGGCCAAAAAACCAAGGAACGAAACCTTTTTCAGACAACTTTTGAGATTGCCTCATTTTGGTCTGATTTATATTAATACTCTGACTTATATCAGGTGTGGGGGACATAACTTAAGAAACTAGCGCCAAAAGTGTCTACCTTTATGTTATTCTAATAATCTGGAACCTCAAGACGCGCTCGAGTTAATACGTGTCGAAGTTAAATTAACTCTAAAAATAAAATAAAAAATATATATGGGCATTTGGTTGAATACAACTTTTACTTTTGCACATGGAAAGCGTAAAAAGAAGTTTTAAACACTGAAAGCCGATTCGAACAATGCGAAGCTCATTGCTCACGTGAGCCGCATTTTGTCCAAGCATAAGGAAAAATTAAGGTCAAGTGGGTTCGAAACGTTTTTTTTTAGTCTGAGCTGATAGCTTGTTCTGATTCAACTCTGCTTCCAAATTAATCTGGTTAGTCGGTCTCCGATGATGTTTTTGAGCGCTTTTTTGAAGTCCTCGATGCAGAACGGGTAGAGAATAGGGTTCAAAGTCGAGTTGAAGTAACCTGCAAATTCAAGAAATGGAAATGACCGTAAATACATCCATTTAAGCATATAGCAATTTCTATTTGCAGTATTTCCCATGTGGGATAATGGCGTTAATTGGTTACAGGCGTTTTTGAATAATTTAAACCCGTGAAGGATAGACACCTGAATCATTTTTGTATTTAAATTGCTTGTTCAGCAATTTGTCCGCAATTGGTATTCAAATTAAGCACTGCGCAAAAATCCCAAACCATGTTTAAATTTGGATCGAATCCTTTATAGTTTATGCCAAACTATTGGCAATATCCTTTTCGGTCAACAAAGCTGGCAATAGTTAATCAACTTAAGACTGAAACCAATTTTTTGCTCACTTGAGCTCAAATTGAGGTAACCTCAGGGCACCTTCATCTTTTTTTTACTGATTAAGATGCTCAAGGTCATCGAACAAGAGTAGTCATATCTGGCAAAAACCGTGGAAAGTTCCAACTGCCCTTTAACGTCTTTGAAAACATCAATTGATAAACATTGATAAAATTTTCATAAAAATGAATAAAAAAATCGTTTTTTTTTTCTAAATTCTCCCACATGCTATGTCAAGTACAAATTGATGTTCCGAGCTGAGCGTCAAGTAACGTATTACTCACACCAAATACTTTTCTTCAATTCAAGCTAGCCAAAGTAGTCATAACTTTAAAAAAATGATCACAGAGGTTAATTATAGTTTTACATTTGCTCAGGACATCAATGGTTTTCAGATCGTACCAAAAAACTCCGTTTAAAAAGAAAAGGTTTGGGTTTTGTAAGCGGATTAAGTTGACAACATCCAGCACCTCAATCCATTTTACCTAATTAAAAAAAAGACCCTCCCGTCCTCCAATGTTTCCGACTGGGACTAAATTTATTCAGATCATAAGGTAAAATTTTGATAGAAGGTCCCTGTAACAAATAAGTGTGACAGAGGGTCCAAAGTCACGCTAATTTTGAACAAATATAGCAATTAAGCGAATTAAATGGGCACCGCTCAATCGTTTTGGTTTTTTTGTGAAACGTAGATAACCTCCCGCACTGGAGTCCATGGATAAAATCGATTGAATTTGAGTTTCATTATTTGGTGTCTATAAAAAAGGAATCAATTCTAATCACATGACACTGAAGTATGTTGCCATTACCTAATAAAGCATTATAACCCATTTTAAATCCATAATAACCGAATATTTTTCACTTTTATAGATATCCATTATAACCGATTTTTTAAAAATTTGTTTAGGCGCAATTCTCAACTCTCACAGAGTCGTTTACACAATTTGAACTAAAACTGGTTACTTGTTGTTCAGTTTCAACTTCCTTCTCGGCAATTTTGATTCTTCTTATTTATTTTATGTTGCTCAATTTTGTTACTTTCAAACGTTTTCCAATTTACTTAGACTTGTTTGAGGGCGTAGGTGGTAGGGGAACGGGCTATCAACGTTTGTATCATTTGTACCGAATGTTTGTACCAAAATTTGACAAGGGTTGTGTTGTGCCCAAAAATTGTTTGGCCGAAGTTTTCCAAAAAAGGAATTTTTGACCGGTATTTTCATCAAATTGACTGGCAAAACAAACTGTCAAAACGTTTGCGGGTCAAGATTTACAATGTGGGAGAGAAGTTGGAGTTCTGGTGGTGGTTGTTGGGTCTCGTTGGAGGGTGGTGGGTAAGGGACAAAAGGGCAAACGTTGGGGAGAAGAGGGGTGGTACGGTGGCAAAGAGCTCCAATCGTTATGGGAAGGGAGTGGTTGGTTCTGGTGGGAGGGGAATGTGCTTGGGTAAGGTGCAGGCAAAGGGGCAACGTTGAGGGGGTGGGAAGAGAATTTTTTTGAAATTTGATACTTCTAGGTTTAGAAATCGATTAGGCGTACACTCGTTTTGCAAAGTTTATGCATTACTAATTTGATAACAGCAAAAAACATCGCAAAATTTTGCACGACTCGAACCAATTTTTAAGTGAAAACAAATCATTTTTTATTGATTTTAAGTTAATTAAAATTAATTTCAAATGTGATAAAACAAAGGATTATAATCGATTTTTGGTTCTATTTTGTTGTATGAGGGCAGCATGGGAATCAATTATAGTTGTATGAGGGCAGCATGGGAATCAATTATAATGTGACTAGCTTAGATCACAAAAATATATTATAGTTGTTTTTTTTCTTTTTTTTTAGTTGCGGAAGCCTCATTTTGCGCTAAAATGTCATCAACTAGACTAACCTTTTAGCAATTTTGAAGCACTGATTTTACATTAGGGACCCTGTTAGTTTCATGAGAGCTGTTAGTTTCATTAACACACTTATCTATCATGACTTTAAGCCGTTTCAAGGGTGCGAAAGATAATTTGATCGTAGACCCATTGATCATAGTTCATTAGACAAGAGTGTGACCGATCGTGCACAAGCATCTTTAGCAGTGAAAACCGAAACAAAGTAAATAAGGCTCTGTTTTGGGTTTTATTTCCATTTTTTTCGGAGTTATTCCGAATGCGCGAAAACTTTTTCTACCAATCAGCGCTCAGTATTCAAAAACTCTAGAGAAAGAAGCAATAAATTCAGTCAACTTTGGACAGTTTAAGGGGTGTTGATTTGTTGAGAACTTTGGCGCATTCCCAATTTTTTTGATTGGGCAAAATTGCAAAATTACTTTTGTGAGATGCACAAATTGCAAATTATCTTTTTTGGGCCGCGCAAATTCGGGAAAACATTTTTGCTGCGCAAAAATGCAGTATATTTTTTGGGGTGCACAAAATCTTGGAAAATTTCTTCGGTCGCACAAAGTTGCAATATACCCATTTTGAGTAGCAATTGTCGCAGCATCAACCCTCAACCTGCTCGCATGACTTTAGACAGCTGTCTAGCAAGCATTATGATCGGAACGTGCTCGGTCCAGAATTACTCAGTCCAGAAAAAGCCAATGAAAAACTGCATGTAAATCTTAACTAGGGGCACAACAGCGGTCCTCCGTGAAGAGCTGAACAGCTCGTACATTGGTCCTTTCCCTTGTGGATAAATCATCCTAAACTTTCAACCAAATAATATGAATAAACGGTTACGTAACCATGTTTAGACAACATCGCATCCATACTCGTCAGTAAGCAGACAAATGATGTTATAATCAATTAGAATCGAGACTAGGAAAGTTTAATAAATAATTATTATTATTTCGTAAGTTCGCTTTCTCATCTCGATTCTGATTGGTTAATATATTGTATTTATCTGCTTACTGACGAGCATGAATACGCGGTTGTCGAAATACAGAATGCACTCCGAATAAACTGACCTAGCCAGACGGAAGCTGTGAACAGGTGGTGTCTCCATCCCTCGGAGAAGTCCTTTTTCATCGCCACCAGCACATACAGAACCATATAAGGCAGCCAACACACACAGAATGCCAGCACAATGCCCGCCAGCTTCTTGGCCGCACGGAACTAAAACGAAACAAAACAACTGCTCACATTGCAAAATTTGGGTTTTAAACAGTTACATACTCGGATTGAATGTTGAGGCTTGCAAAAGTGTATATTCGATCATGTGACGTTTTCGTTTTTATTATTTAATCATAAGATGTTTCTTCCATGAATGAACAGCCAGATGCCTAATTCGAAGACTAAAGGTTAATGCTTAATTAACCTATGGATTACTTAGGAGAACGAACCATCAGATGATCAACAAAAAACAAGACTGCTCGTATATCAGGGCAAAACCCTGAGTGTTCCGACTGCCCCTATCGAATAGTTTTTTGCAAAAAACATTGAAAAACTGTAAATTTTGGACATAATGAAAAATCAAGAGTAAAAATTTTAGTGGTACAAACCTATTAGAACCGATTAGCTAGCCTCAATTCAATTTGGAATGATTTTGTTGAGCGGGATATTTCGCGTTACGCTTTCAATATTAATAATTTGCGTTACGCTTTCAGCAATATGAAAAAATCTCCACAACGCACATAAATTAGCCCAGAGCATGGGCAAATTGGTCACAGAACTATGCAAAATTGATCGTAAGTAAAATAATTTTTTATATTTGTAAAATAATAATTTTTTTTTATTTCAGGGAGTCAATTTCTTCAATTTCTAAAAATTTTGCCAGAAACTAATATTTCAATCGCCGGCAGTTGATTCCAGTTTTTGACAGAATATTTTAGAAACGTTCTTTTTACACGTTCTTAAAGTAAAAACTAACCAGTTAACGTATAGTAACTCAATAGAACAACGAGTATGCCTCAAATAAATTTGGAACTGTTTCTGAGCCAAAATAGAAGACTGATGGTGCGTTAATAGGGCTCGATAGTCGCTCGAATATCATCTCGAATGAATTGAACTTCGATTTCCAAATTCTTACAAGACTGCTCGTATCAGGGCGAAGCCCTGAATGTTCCGACTGCCTATTAAGGTTTATGGAGCAGTAATAACATTTAAAAAAATTTTTTTTAAGTAAAACAAAATAAAAAAATTTTTTTCTAAAATTTGAATTTTTTAATGAAAATCATCCCCCCACACGCCATATAAAGTTTAAAAGGACAGATTTTGCTACTTGAAACAAATCACTTATGGCAAATAAGCTTCGTTAAACCAATTTGTAACAATTTCTAAGACGGATTAAATCTCGCTTACGCGTTAATAGCGCGAAATTTATCGCGCGTTAATTGTCCCAAATTGGCCAAAATGGCAATCTTTAAACACCCATAACTTTACAAAAAATGATCACAGGTGAAATATTTTTTCAAATTTGAGCTCAGGACAACAATACCTTTTGAATAATGTAAAAAAAAATCCGTCAAAAATGGCTAGTTAAAAATTCGAAATTTGTCTGAAGAAAAAAAACCCACTCCGAGCACAAATATTTCGTTATTTTCGTATTGAAAGTCGGAACAATAAGTATGCTGAAATTAATCACAAGTAAAATATCTTTTTTAAGTTTGAGCTCAGGCATCAATGGCTTTCAAGTTATAAAAATTATTAATAATTTGCGTTACGCTTTCAGCAATATGAAAAAATCTCCACAACGCACATAAATTAGCCCAGAGCATGGGCAAATTGGTCACAGAACTATGCAAAATTAATTGTTGGTAAAATAATTTTTTATATTTGTAAAATAATAATTTTTTTTATTTCAGGGAGTCAATTTCTTCAATATTAAAAATTTTGTCAGAAACTAATATTTCAATCGCCGGCAGTTGATTCCAGTTTTTGACAGAATATTTTAGAAACATTCTTTTTACACGTTCTTAAAGTAAAAACTAACCAGTTAGCGTATAGTAACTCAATAGAACAACGAGTATGCCTCAAATAAATTTGTAACTGTTTCTGAGCCAAAATAGAAAACTGCTGGTGCGTTAATAGGGCTCGATAGTCGCTCGAATATCATCTCGAATGAATTGAACTTCAATTTCAAAAATCTTACAAGACTGCTCGTATCAGGGCAAAGCCCTGAATGTTCCGACTGCCTATTAAGGTTTATGGAGCAGTAATAACATTTAAAAAAAATTTTTTTGATTAAAACAAATTGAAATTTTTTTTTTCTAAAATTTGAATTTTTTAATGAAAATCATCACCCCACACGCCATATAAAGTACAAAAGGACAGATTTTGCAACTTGAAACAAATCACTTATGGCAAATAAGCTTCGTTAAACCAATTTGGAACAATTTCTAAGACGGATTAAATCTCGCTTACGCGTTAATAGCGCGAAATTTATCGCGCGTTAATTGTCCCAAATTGGCCAAAATGGCAATCTTTAAACACCCATAACTTTACAAAAAATGATCACAGGTGAAATATTTTTTCAAATTTGAGCTCAGGACAACAATACCTTTTGAATAATGTAAAAAAAAATCCGTCAAAAATGGCTAGTTAAAAAGTCGAAATTTGTCTGAAGAAAAAAAAACCTACTCCGAGCACAAATATTCCGTTATTTTCGTATCAAAAGTCGGAACAAAAAGTTTGCTGAAATTGATCACAAGTAAAATATCTTTTTGTTCCGACTTTCGATACGAAAGTAACGGAATATTTGTGCTCGAGGTGGGTTTTTTTTCTTCAGACAAATTTCGACTTTTTAACTAGCCATTTTTGACTGAATTTTTTTATATCACTCAAAAAGTATTGTTGTCCTGAGCTTAAATTTGAAAAGATATTTCACCTGTGATCATTTTTTGTAAAGTTATGAGGGTTTAAAGATTGCCATTTTGGCCATTTTGACCAATTTGGGACAATTAACGCGCGATATAATTCGCGCTATTAACGCGTAAGCGGAGATTTAATCCGTCTTATAAATCGTTCCAAATTGGTTGAACGAAGCTTATTTGCCATAATTGATTTGTTACAAGGAGCGAAATTTATATTTTTGTACTTTATTTGGCGTGTGGGGGGATGATTTTCATAAAAAATATCAAAATTTAGAAAAAAAAAATTTCATTTTATTTTATTTCATTTAATTTTTTAAATGTTTTTACTGCTGCTCCATAAACCTTAAAAGGCAGTCGAAACATTCAGGGCTTGGCCCTGATACGAGCAGTCTTGTTTAAGTTTGAGCTCAGGCATCAATGGCTTTCAAGTTATAAAAATTTATTGTAAAAATTCGCTAGTTAAAGAGTCGAAATTGCTCTTGATAAACAACCCGAGCACAAGTTTTCCGTATCTTTCTTGGAAAACTGGAACAAGAAAACAATCTATTAGAATCGTTGGATTAGTTGTTGTCTGATTAAGAGAAGATGTAGCGATCACATCTTCAAGTTTACTGCTTAATTCGTAGCATAATTGGAAAATATTAACCTGCAAAGCACAACTTATTCGAGTTGAAAAACATTGAGACAAGATAATGGGCAGCTAAAAATCCGTCGCAAGAAGTTTTTTCTAAGTATTTATAATCAACAAGTAGATAGCAAACAATCTGGCTCACAACCTCTCAAAACTGAAAAAAAGGAAATTGAAATTTCAAACGGTGTTTACTACTGCTTACGGTTAGCTTAACATTATCCTTGATTTATGGAGAAAAAAGTAGAAATGGAAACAAGATGCTCGCATCAAGACAACGCTGTGAATATGCCAAATGGCCTTCAACAATTAAAAATTAATTGAATAAAAAAGAATACTTAATAGGAATTGAAAGGATTTTATGGGGAACTATTTAAGAGCCAGGTTCAAGGAAGCGAATGATGCCTTAGTTGCCATTGTCGCTAATTACTACAAATGATGTAATAGATCGAGATAAAACCCAAAAA